CTATGCTGTACTATATGTAATCAAGTTTCAGATATTCCCATAACACCCTTCATGTAAAAAATCAAAGAAGATTTATATATATCAGATACTGTGTGTTTGGACTGTTATGGTCCAGTAGAAAATTCGAATGCTATGAGAAGCAAAATGTATAGTGTAGGATTAGAATGAGTAAAAACTTTATGTTAATAACTTTTTTCCTTCTTTCAAGACAACTTTAATTTAGTTGCTTTACTTAATACTACTTCCACACATGAATTGGATAATTAGTAATCTCATCAAGGCAAATCCTTTATTTTTTGTGAATTGTATCAAAAAGGAAAAAATCTTGATCATTTGAAAGCCTCGTCTCCTCCTCCTTATCCCTGCCCCCAAATCAAAACAAAGTTAATCAAAACAAAGCAACCCCCCCAAAACAAACAGACAAACAACAAAATTATGTTGCGATAGGGATTTAAATAGGTTTGCTGGGGGGAGGCGGACTGAGGCAGGGATGTTGATTTTGAATAGAAGTTTGGCATTTGGAAGACTTGTTTGCACTGAACAGTATCCTTAAAAGAGGGACCAGTATAGGTTGAGTCCCCAAATAAATTATTACTATTCTATTTCAGACTAAAAATAAACCATTTTAAATATATTGATTATACCTTCATCAGAACATAAGTATTCTATCTAGCCTATAGGTTCCAAGAATCTCTATTTGGGCTTAATTTACTGTCATTTCAAAACAAAACAAAGGAATGTGAAATTTTGCACATTAGGATGTTTGTAGTGACCACATAAAGTTAAAAAAAAAAAATTCACAGAATGTTAGCCATATATTTCAACTTTTTCTCACAGTTTGAAACCAGTTTCATGTTAAGAATATTTATCTTTTCATTCCTTGTTAAAATCAGATTAATTTCTTTGTGTTTTTCTTTTTTTTTTTTTAAAGAATATTGACTTTTTGGGGGCATGCCATGAGTTGAGAAGCTAATCAGGTAAAATAAAAATGTGAATTCAATGAAGATCTCGATCGTATCATGCCACTGACTTTAAGTCAAACTCTACACTGATTTCAGACTAGAGTGTGGCTTAAAATCTTTGGTGTTATATAGGACTCTCATTAATCCGAACAGGCTTTCATTCATATCCATTGTTCCCTGACTTTAAATGCTTTTCTTCATCTATATTTCTGACTTGGAGTAAAGATTCAGAATTGCATTTCAAGTCTGTGAATTCTTGTGGCATTTTGACTTTTATTCCTGCCCCATCTCCATTGATTTAAGATTTCTTTGATGTTGCTGAGTGACAAAAAGTTGAAAAGTTATGGCTAATTGTATTTCTATTTTAATAACCATACCTATATAATTGTCATTTTCATACATTAAAAAAATATTTATGCTTTCTTTTATATTTTAGTCAAGTACTTTCTTAAACAAAACAATAGCACCACTTTGGCATTGTTGGCCAACTCAGTAACAGGTAAAGCAAATATGCACACACTTTTCTGAACTCGTCTTATCATGCGCTTGCTTGTTAAAATGGAGAGTCAAGAAGATGCAGTGCGTGGCCTAGGGTCTTCTTTAATCAACTCTAACCGTTGATACTAAGTCAACAACCAGCTCATGAGGCAGCTGAACACAGCTGCAAGTTGTGTGTGGAACTCACTTCTGTAAAGAAAACCTACCACAAATTTACCCTTTAATCTTAAAAAGGGAATTGACCCCGCAATCTGTCTTGGGTAAAAGGTGCCTACTGTAACGTATCTACAGGGACTGAGTGTGGTATCCCATTATTTGATTTTCTTTTCTCTCTTGAGCCTCACACAAGTCTTTCACACAAATTTAAGTATAGATTTGTAAGTACATTTTGAGCAGAATATAGAATTTATTCATTTTACATTTAAACTCTTAATAATTATGGTTACTATGGAGACAAAGCTCAAATTTTGCTACCTTGATGAAAGAGGTACATTAACTTCAGTGGGTTTAGATCTGCAGTTCTTTTTTAACTAACTGAAAATAATGGGACTTAATTCACTTTTTTACTTCTCCACTTCAGTGGTATTCTATGTAATAATTGGAGTTTTACGTCTATTCTAGAATGCAAAGATCTGTGACTTCTGTCATGTGATTTACATGATATGGAAGGGTAGTGAGTGGGATTTTCTTTACCACCTAAGGGATTTATGAGAATCAATGGCATGAAGCGGGAGCCCTGTTCCTAAATATCTGGAGTGCTTTTGAAAATCCAGCTGAACCCTTCAGTTTCTCTAATTAGAAGTTTTTCAAGTCAGACTACTTTGTACTTTTGGGAGGGACATGTTTTGGCTCATGCTTCAAATTCTTTTAAGTAGCGGATTTGTTGAGATTATTAAGCTAATGCAGCCCTTCCTCTTTCACATCGAGTGGTACATCATGTGCTCCTTGCCATATGACTGGAGGTTTCTTGCACAAGTATGCATTTCCCATCCATGCATTTCTCACCTCTACAGTGGTTGAGCTATTCTCCATTTTGCGATACCATTTATTCTCTAGTAAAGTGTTTCCTTTGAAGCTTGTAGCTATTAATTATTTATTGTAGTTTCTTTCAAGAATTGTTCTAGTTTGTTTAGACAGTTGTCAAGTTCTGATGTTAGATATTGCTGTCTATGAGCCACATTTTCTAGTTATGATTTCTCAACAGAACTATGGTGGCATGAATCTGAGTGCATGAATGTCAAGATAAGACCAAAATTTGAATTAATTTACAGGAAATAAATAGCACAGTGATGTATGGTTGTTTAGTTATGTTAACAGTGCATCGGTAAAATGTTATCTACAAAGAAACCTGCAACCACAGAGATCTTCGAATTGCTTTTTGCGCTCACACCTTTCCTCCCTCGTCCCCTTAGAACTTCAGAGTAGGTAGAGAACAGAAAGAATTCTGGTCATGAAATGGAAACATGTATTACGTCCGTGACATCAAAATAGACTGATTCTTAGAATGCATTTCTGAATTCTTAACAGCCATTGAAGTAAAAATAGTTTCCTCTCCATCCTCTCTGACAAAAAAAAAGTCTGTAAGAGCTGTGACAGATACCAGAATTGCTACCTCTGTTTATTGAATTGATAGTAAATAATTTAGGTTAGTTTTACCATCTGTTTCTCTGAACTTTCTTCCTTTTTAAACATAACTATCTCAGTCAATGGCAGCTGTGACATATTCTTTTTATTCATTTACTGTTCTGCAATTACATTGTGATGGCAGCCTATAGTGCATATAAACAGGCATCTCACAGAAAGCAGAGGGTTTAGAGAGTCGCGTAGGAATACATTGCACTGTCCTTGGGAAAAAAAAAAAACATGAAACCCGAATTTTCTATGAGAATAAAAAAAGAACTATAACAATTTATTAGACTTTTAAGACCTACCTTTCCTGTCTCTTTCACAAGAAACTATGGAGGAGCTGTACAATATGCAGTCTGCAGAGATTCTTCTCTTGTGTTTTAATCTATAGTTCAGTCATCTACTGCCATGGATGTAGTAGAAAGGAAGGCAGATTTGAGCTTTTAAAAAGAGATACTTCCTTTACAGATCTAATCTAACCTAACGTCTCCTTAATTGTTCCCTTCATACAGTATTCTCCCTGCCCTCTTTGAGGCTGACCAAGCAATACTTCATCCCTTGCCTGAGCTTACCATGTGCAAGGTGATGGGGGGAAGTAGTCAAGTGGACCCATGTTGCAGTTCTGGACAGGATGGAACAGTCCATTCTCCCCTGTCTTCTCTTGCCTTCTCTCACAGAGAAGTTTATTGTTCACCTTGGGACACTGTTGGCTACCTATCCCTTTTTACTGCAGGGCTGATCTAGCACTGAGGTGATTTACAAAAATGGAGCACAGGACATGGTGTTATTCAAGGTAGAATCAGTGCAGTTCCTACCAGGGTTACATGGCAGAGATTATCTGGAAATATGTGTGTCTCACAAGAGTGCATGAAAAGCTATTGTGAGTAGCAGCTTGAAAGATGTTGTGGTTCATCTCTTCTTGAGGACTCTTTCTATACTGTAATTTGGTGATTAGATTAGCTTTTCTAATTTACAGAGAGATGCAGCAGCCTAATTAACAGTCAATTTAGTCACATCTGATTGTGGGAAGAATTAAAATGGCAGAGAACTTGAGCAACTCTCTGTTAATGTTTGAATAGAATGCTGATATCTCAGAAAGATTTAGGCTCTAATGGGCTACCCCTTGAAGTCATTTGAGGGCTTTCTCAAATTGTCTTCTCCAGGCCTAGGGATCTATGAATTTGTGTTCCACATAACTGTAACTGAAAACACCACCACTCAAACATCTACAAGGAAACAAGTATCTGAATTTTCTTTCTAAGTTGGGAATGTTATTTCCATGTTGGAATCTGAAGAGATTTTAGTTTGTTTAAACTGAATATTTTAAAACTATCTTGTTATTTAATCTTTGGCTTGATCTTTCTATATTTGCTTTTACCTATTACTGTTTTGGCCAGACCCTTTCATGTAACAAACTATAAAATAGCACCGTTGTACTATAAAACAGAGAATTTTACATACTGTTTGATATATGTGTATTATTGATATGCTAAATTTTACATACTGTATTATATGGAGGAAGAAAGAAGTTACCTATACTGTTGCAAAATAATTACCTGGAAGAATCATTAATGGCTTGAGAGCCTATGCTTTAACTGCTTTTAAAAATCTTTTGTCTCACAAATTGCAATGAACTGCATCTTTGTGAGAGAAGGAAAACCAAAACTGTCTTAAAACAAATGCATCTATAACCCATATTCTGTCAAAATGCCACAGATGGAATTAATGGATGTTTGAAACTGTATGTGTTACCTTACTGCTGCTGTTACTGGGAATGTCAGACTGTGCAAATATGAAGGGGTAGACAAACAATGTTATCAGACACTGTAAAACAAACAGCCTGTTGCTTGTATAGAAGTGCAAATAAAACAACACCACTTAGACAAGGCTGATGAATGACTCCAGCAGCCAGTGTTCATAGGTTAATTTAGTGCAATTGGATCCATCAAAGGCCCATAAATTTGTAGGCTTTTGAGGGGAACAGGACTTTAAGAGATTTTGTGCAGGACATTTAAAACAGGTTAACAGACAGTAATATATCAACCACAGAATTTTTTAGCTCTGGGCTGGTTAAAATGTTCTGTTCTCTAACGACATAATATTGGAATGTTTAGTTGCATTGTTCACTGGGAGAATGCCCATCGGTTGAGATTGCATCAAGCTTATTAAACCATAGGGTTTTTTTAAGTCTTCCAATGTTTAACAAATAATTTATTTACAGCAAAGTATCCTGCAGATGGCACATTCATTCTTCATTCTTGTGGATGGCATGTTCTTACATTCTGTAGTTTCTGTTTCCTGTGTTCCCTCTACTTGAGTTCTTCAAATGCACTTCCTGAAGGTGTAGAAAAAAATAATTATTCCAGATAGATTTTAATACGCTGTATGACCACAAAACTTGTAATAGTGAGAAAACAGTTATCCTGAATGCTGGAATTGTTAGAGCTCTTTTGCAAGTTCACACAGAACTTAACTACGCAAAAGTTCTGTACACTAAATTCCCTGTTCTCCTAGGCATAAGCACTTTGATTGCTGTCAGTGTTGATCTTGGCAGAGGAAACATCTGCATACTGGAACCTGAATGGGCTTAGACATACAGTAGGTACCAAATGTTTTCTTTCTTTCAGAACAAGGGCATTTGCAAAAGCAGGATGTATAGGGGCCAGGGAACTTTAGAGTTGTAACTGTAGGATTTATGGAGTCTCCTGGGCTTTGGTACCCAGTGGTCAGAAGTTTTCAGAATTGCTGAGTGGGACTCTGCTATGTACATTTTACATAAATGGCATATTAGATGTGTAAGGTTTTTGTTGGGTAAGGCCTTTAGGAAGATAAAATGTGTGGGTTCACTGCAGGAGCTGCAGTCAAATAATTTGTAGTTTCAAAAAGAGACAGAGTGAAGTGCCAGGGAAATCAAGAGGGCTTTGGAATGAGTAATGCCCTCAGTTCACTGTCTTTCCTTGCACGGGCCAGTTTCCAGTAGCAGTGATGGATGTGGGATATATCTCTCAGTTTGATTTCCTTATTTGCCATGCTGGTACATATTAGCTGAGCCCAAATCTTTACAAATTCTGTACCAGACTAAAGACAGAATTGTTAAGTGACTCTCCGTATCTATAATCCTCATAAGAAGTAAAATTCTTGGTTAACTGAAATCATGTCTGTTGTCCTAAGGAAATCTAAAAATAAAATATCTCCCTGAGAAAGGTAAGGCATGTGTATGCAACTCTACTGCTGCATTATCTGCTGTTTAAGTCCTAAAAAAAAAAAAAAAAGAAAGTGTAATCTCTAAAATTTAAAAAGTAATTAAATTTTTGCCTACTTTTCTGATGGACAGAAAGAAAATGGAAGCTGATTTGGTGCATTACAGTAGTTCCGAGGGTTTTTAAAAATCATTTCGTATATAAAATGTTGTTCTATATAGAACTTTTCCATTTGCCTCCAGTATCTATTAAACATCAAATAAATCGGAAACTGGCAAAGGATCACAAAACTTGAGCTAACAGAGAGCTTACTCATTTTCACTGGTTTTGAATTTGGTTCTGATGGATATGAGTTGAATTATTATTTTCAGAATATAAAAAACCCAAACAGTACTAGTAATTGTCAAATTAATTATACCACCACCAAGTAAGAGTATTGAGCCAAGCTAAGATTTATCATCAATGACAAGCCAAATTTGTTAATAGCAAAGTATTCATAATGAAGATACGTCTTTGTTAGGAATCTGCCATTCTAGATGTTCTTAGTCTGAAATACAATACTAAATGAGGAAGAAGAGATTAATCATCTAGTCACTATTCCTGTGATCAGTTTGGTAGGATACTGGCTTGTCTTCATCAAATTTTGCTAATATCGCTATGGAATAGCTTCCTTAGCATGGACTGAATACAGAAACAGAAATGTCAACAGAAATTAAAATAATTTTTGCTGTTTTGTTGCCTGTTTCTCTTACAGCTTTTCCAAAACTACCTTTTCTGTCTTTAGTTTTCCAAAGTTATACCTCAGTTTTCACGCTGAAGTACTCACTCTGAATGAACCTTTCAATTTTGACTGCTTTTCACTAAAATCATCATCGCAGCACCTTACAGGAGCCTGCCACTGTTAAGGGTCCTGCCTTATGCTACAAATGCTGATGTTCGTAACAATGAAGTAAGAAAACAGGAATTCCTTGACTCATCTGCCCTGTTTTTTTCCTCATGGCGACACAGCAAAATATCCTCGTCAATGCTGCCCCTAGGTTCTCTTTAAAGAGAGTTTATCAGCACACAGGAAAAGTTACATGCTACATTTTATTTACAAAAAGTCATAGATTCTTAAAAGCTGCACATTCGTGATCTATAAAATGGACAATGAGAAACTAATTATGAAACAACAGTCATTTTGCCTTGCAGTGGCTTTCAAAGTATGCTTAGAATGAAAATTAACTATATGTTTCCCAAATGAAAATACAAATTCTCTCCACTACTCTTAGTCTGACTTTATTTGGATGATGAAGCCGTTTTAAAGCAAATACTAAGATGCAGTAGGGTTTCAGTTATAGCTTTTAATACTGACAGGTAGTTGGAAAAAGGGCTCTTTTAATACACAGGCTAGCTTTGAAATTGAGGGAAGATGGCAGGTTACTTCTAGAACTGTTTCTCCTCTGGAATCAGCATTTTGATGAATAACTATAAAGAAGCAGCACTGATGGTGGCAGCTGTAACATGCATGCCAGAAAATACTTTGACTCATAGAATACTTTTTTTCAAGTATGCAATTTTGAGACCATTGGAAAAAATAAAAAAAGTGTGAATGCCTGAATCAGGTTCTCAGACCTGCATTTGTGCTTGTATAGAAAAGCTTGCGTTATTGCTCAAGCCTTTGGAAAAAAGGTAATTAGAAATAAAATTGTTATCTTTTTTCATTATCAGATCCTCTGAGCTGATATTCAGACTCAGACAAAGACAACAAGCATTTTAAGATGAGAGATACAAAATGTCAACTTTGCATGAGTCAGTTCCTGAACAACGAAGTGCAAACTTCTAACCTATCACCTTAAACATTGATCTTTGGAGGCAGGGCAGGATTAATGTAAGGACCACAGCTACCTCAGTTATAGTAAAGGTCATTAAACTAACATGGAAAGGTATTGGGAAGCATGCAGTAGCACTCTTTCCTATGAGGATGGACATTCAAACCTCATATTGGTGTTAAAAGATCTCTTGCTTTATTTGTAATAAATGGAAAGTCTGATGTTTGTAGTAACAGGCATGATGTCTTGGCTACGAACTCTCTGGGGTTTCTTTGAAAGCTTTTTAGTTCTGTGGGCAGTGTGATCAGTAACATAATAACAAGGCTGGAAAGTAAGCAGTGGGAGAAAATGATTTTCTGAAGTGAGAAGGCAAAGTTCTATCTGTTACACCTAAAGGTTCCCTCATTGGTTTGGCAATGTGGCATGGCTGTAACAGAAATTAGGATTAGTGCCACTGTGCCTGTTTGGTCTGTAAATGTATCTGTGAGTTAATACTGAGCCGATTACAAAAGAATCTGCCAATCTTAGAAAGGTTAATGAGAAATAATGCAACACTTTTTCTGTTTTCTTAATGATTTTCTCTCTCTTAGTTCCGCTTAGTATTTATTTAAATTCTGACGATAACATAAAATCTGAAAAAAAAAATTTAAGAGAATCTGCTTTCTGTCAATACTTTGGCACATATATTGATGTGTATTTTCCACATATGAAGCCTAAAGAAGAATAGAGACTAAAAATCTGAGAAAGAGCAAAATTATATCAAGATGTACACCTCTTTCGTCTTTTTTCTCAGGATACAAAGGGATGGCATTGCACTATGTTTTTGGCTTTCCCTCTTCTTTATTTAACGGATTTTAAAATCAGTCTTATCAGTGTTCACATTTATGTAATAATTTTCAAGGTTCTATGACACTGCTCTGTTCAAAAAGGTTACAGTCTTCCCTCATGTACACATTTGTTGTGGAAATAGCTCAATTTCCTTTGCTTAAACAGAGAACAGTTCTTTTTCAAAGTTCTACTCACTAGTTTTCCAAATTCTTGTTAAAACTTAATTCATTTAAGAGTAAATAGACTAAACTTTTATTAGCATCTCTCAGAAGAGAAAGAAAAGAGTGAAAGAAAAGCTAGATGAAACCATGTACACTGAAGACAGAGCTTTAATACCCTTTCTTGTTCCTATTTCACAGTTTAAAACTCTCAACACAAGCAGTGAAAAAATAGGCGAAACCATTACTCTGCTTTCCAGCACAAATACTGAAAGTTTCTCATCATTCCTTACTCCTACCTTACTAGCTGATGTATTTTCTCATTAAATGAGATTTTAATCTGAAAGCAGTGCCAACAATTATTCTCATAGTTTTAGGTTAAAAAAAAAAAAATCTTGATCTATAATGTGTTTTGGTTTCACACCTGTTCTCTTTGTCAAAAGTTCTGGGACATCTTTCTTGGGTTTAAAAATGCTGACATATGATTAAGTTGTGTCCTCTTTAATAAATCTCTGCTTATGTACATAACTAACTGCAATTGAGGCAGAATTTTATAATGGATTTGTATTATGCAGTTGATCACTTCCTATTTCTTATCAGTTCTGGTAAGGCGAATATCTAAATATCTCTTATTTTTTACCACTAAAAATTCTACTGAAAGCTTTCAACAGAGTATTCAAATAGCAAGCAAATAAACAACAGACTTTGGATAAGCATAAGTGATCAGTAAATTGAGTGAACAACAGATCTGGCAGGTTGGCTGGATTATTTGATCAAATGTTTGTTTTCCTTATTCAATAAAATAATTATTTCTCACGAATTTTCAAATGAAATTTATTACAAAAGAAAATTGCTGCAAGAGTAATTGGAATATTTGCTGGATTGTGATCCTGCAAAAAATTACTTATTTCTTTAAATGTGCAAACGTTTTAATCAAATTTAATTTGTACAGCATTTTAACTGTTTGTTTTACAGGGGTCTGGTTTTGAATAGTATTATAATTAATGCAGAAAGGTGAAGTACTAAATTTCAGTAGCTTAATTAAGATGGTCAGAGGCAAAGGAAGGGGATTTTGAGTAATATTAAATTCCTTGAAGTTTGAAGTTTTGAAGAGTCTGAAAATAGCTTAATGAAGATCAGTTTCACCACAAAAGCAGCAGGAAATCAAAAAAGCTTTATTTTGACTTTTTGTGATAAAAATGTTTTGCTTTGGAAATACCAAAAGATTCAATTCCAACAGTTCCATTTTGAAACTTTTGTCTTTCCCTTTTCAAAACATATTCTTTTTTTCATTCAGTATGGCAAAGAAATATAGAGAATTAATAAATATTAATAATAGAAAGGTATATACATAAAAGTAAATTAAATAAACTGAAAAAAAGAAAAGCAATCTTTATCACCCTTGGTCTTAGTGATGCATTGGGATCTAAAATTATTCTATTCCCTTACCTAAATAGTCCAGAACAGTTGTCCTGAATTTTTTATTTCTTAAATCTGAACACTAAACTGAAAATAAAATTTAATCACCTAGCTTTCCTTAGGAAACCTATTAGAGAGAAGCAGTTGCATTACCTGTAGTTCTTGCATATTTTATGTCATTTCTATATTTCTGGTCAGCTGCTTTTGTACTGGGGAATCTGAATGATTAAGGCAATATATTCTAGAACGCATATTGACTGAATGTAGTTTATACCAATAGGTCCTATCCTATTTTAAAGGAATAATTTACCTTTGCAGATCAAATTCAGAGGAACAGAAGCAAAAGATATAAAGTAAGTGGCTTACTAAATCTTAGCCAGCTATGTTTGTTTTGTACAAAATCTGCTTCACATATGATTGTTAAAGCAAATGTGAAGACTATGGAAAAAACGGTTCGTGTAACACTAAAGCATTTTCGCATTGACCAACCACTGTCCAGTTGTCATCAAAAAGAAAACTTTTTTCTATACCAGATTTGAGCATTTAAAAACAGAACTGCCACTTCACTGTATATTTCCTGTACCCCAGCTTGGATATATTTGTTGTTTCACACTGGAGAAAGCAATTTGAATGCTTCAGACAGCTCTCGAAACTACAAACAGTTTTTTCATCCCAGGTAGAGTAGCTGATCCAGACAGGTTAGGTGACCTCTGTAGGCTTCGACTCAAAAAATATAAAGTACTTCAGGGAGTAGAGGAGACAGATACCTCTTTTTAAGTAGGGGACACACACTCTGGTGAGAGTTTGGTATCCTTTAGATAGATTTCTGAAAAGGATGCTTGACTGCTGGGTGCTAACAGAAACTACATATTACTGTAGTTCACAACTTACTCAAGGCCCACAGTGTTGAAATCCAGCTGGAAAGATACTCTGAGTTATCCCATCTGTTCACTAGAGACTTTAGGGTGGTTAGCCTGTAGCTACAACATTGGGCTCTGATGCATACCTTGTTTCTCTCTGCAAGGTATTATGTGTGCTTGTTGCATTCAGTGGCTGCTCCAAATTAAGGTAATTTCGTCATGGGCTGAGTGCAAACGAGGTGGTGAAAGCTGGGCATCTAAATCAGGATAGAGTTAAGGTCGCGTATGTGCTCCATTGTATACGGCAACCGTGGCAATAATAAAGTACTTCCAAGTGCATTCTTTCTTAATTTCTATTAATTTCTTTCTTTCTCTGCCTTTCTTTCTTAATTTCTACCCCTCAGTATATGATAACAATGCGAGTTTGGTTTTTTTTTTACTTTTTTTTTTTACTTTTTTTTTTTTTACTTTTCAATATACTTTTATATTTAGTTGTGAGTAAAAGGTCTTGGAACAGGAAAGGTAGTGGTCCTACAGAGAAAGAAATATTTTGTTTGTTAGCTACAAACAAATGATACTCTACACACACAGTCTCTGTAATTGGATTAAAACTAGTTCTTGATATTGGCCTTATAACAGTGAATAGGGAGTTTGGATTTCCCAGCCCACATTTATCATTCAGTGCCTGGCTTTCATCATTCAGGTTTGTACGTGTAGTGTAGCAACACTTGTTTGCAATGTAATGACTAAAGATCAGTATGAATATAAGCTATAAATAGAAGAACAGCTCTGCACCATTGAAGTAAGTTATTCTACCCAACTGTGCTTGAGAGGAATGATCTGTTCAAGGAATTGTGAAAGCAGACCACTCACTTCTTACAAAAACACTTAAACGAAAACCCAAATCTTGGACTTGTCTATTAAAAACATTATGAGGAGATGCCAAATAAAAAGTACATTAGAAATGAGAAAGGCATTAGGAAACTGATTGTATATGAAATCTGACAATAACTTTACAACATCTTATATATTTGACTTAATCCTCCCTTAAATATTATTTTGAATATATATATCGCTTTCTATGTTTAAGATGTGTATCTCATATATGACATATAATATTAAGAGAAAGATATTCTAAAGCAGAAAAAAAATTGCTCAACTGAAAAATAATTTGACTTTAGTGTATTTAATTTTTCAATTAAATCAATGACATATCAACACTATGAATTAGCTAAATGCATATTGGGGAAGCCTATCCGAAGAAGAAAGCATGAACATAACATTGTCTTTTTTTTAATGGAGGCATGTACAGCTGACTGCAAAAAGAAAAAAAGAAAGAAAAAACAATTACATGAGAATATGCACCACAGCTTTTTCACAGAGATTTTCTTAATGAATTCTGTTTCCCTTCTTTTCCCTTTGCTGTATTTTCCTTTCATCTATCATAAATCTGAATAATGTTTCTCCTACCCCTTCTGTATTTTTGTTTCCTCAATCTAATTTTCTCCATCCACAGATATTAATGAAAATTTCAGTTTGTTTTTCCCATCAGATTTCTGATATTTTATTGCCAAGGTCTCATCAAGAAACATTTATGATTTTTCTGTTTGTGTTCACCTCTCTCCTCCTTTCCCCATATGTTTTCTTTAAACGTGTTGTTTTCTTTTATATTAATATTTGTCTAATTTTATTTTCTCTCCCCTTTACTTACAATTCAGTCTTTTCTGCGTAGTGCACCATGGTTTCTTCAGTTCTTCAATATTTCCCATCTTCTCAGCCTCTTTGATCTAATTCCCTCCTCCTTCTTTTTGTCTGCTCCTCATTGTCTTTTTACTGCCCTTTTCACCTCTTTATTTTTTTCCCCTTTTAATTTCCTGGATGATTTCTTCTGCAGCTAGGTTCTCTCAATTACTACATACTCCTAATTTTTTTCTTCTCCCAGCATCCCTTCTTGAACACTAACTCCCTTGTTGCTGCAGAAAGGCGCAAGGCCTTCTTCCATTCCGTTCTGTTTATACGAAAAGTGTTTTCCTGCCTATCTTTTGCACTGTGAAGAGGACAGCTGCCTAAAGAATGACATGATTTCTTGGCCCTCCAAGGAAGGTGGTGTGGAGATCCATCAGAGAGCTGGCAGGTATCTTGTCTCCTTTTACTTGAAGTTTCAGAATGTTTTACGCATCACCTTAGCAACAAGTGTGGGAAGGAGCACACGGATTACTGCTCAAGCCTGTTTTCTTCTTTTCCCGCAAGCCGTAAATATATGTGTGCCCAGACAGGAATAAACTACAGTGTTTTCTTGTCTATAGTTGAGCTTTACCTGAAGAAGGCTTCACTTGTTGTCGTGTGTGCCTTTTGAGATGTTCTCGGCTAAGGTGATACTTCCCAGGAAGAATCATATAGCCATTACTTTAAAAGGTTGAAAGCTCTTGAGGAAGAGATGAAAGGATTCCATTCTATGACTTGACTTATGGAAAAGAAATAAATGCTGGAACAATTACAGTTGTTCTTTTCACAAAGATTATATTCGGGAAATTAGTGTTGGTTTCCTGACTTCTCATGAAATCTTAGGATTTCATGCAGTTTCTTTTTTTATGTGAAAAAAATTTCAGATAACTGCAGGAGTGGGGCCAATGTATGTGTAGACAGACAGGGTCAACGACAATAAAATACATCACTAGAGGCTTACAACAAATGATAGATAACATGTAAAACATATGTTCAGAGCTCAAACAGGAGAGACAGTTGGACATGAGCTTAATGGTAGCCTAGCCTAAGATGGGTTTTCTGAACTGTAGGCTCTGTTGAAGAGAGATGAGACTTAACTGCCTATATCTAGTATGACAGCAACAAAAATCTGGGTACTCTGAACTCCACAACTGTACAAATAATACCAATGAATATGCAAAGTGCTTGGAGAATATACATATTAACCATTAAATAGTTAAAATGAAGTATGTCATCTTTGCAGATAATATAGTTCTGATAAATTAAAAAAAAAAAAAAAAGCCAAAATAATGTGGAAAGAAAAAAAAAATTTGTTCATTTACATAGAAAACTAATAGCAGAAGTGCTGTGTTTTCCCTCTTGATCACTCACTCTACCTTTTTCTGACAAGGAAGGATGAGTGAGAAGGTTCTGGATAGATCAGTTGTTACAACATTCAATGTTTGGTTTCTCTTTTGAAAGAAGTCTTAGGTGCTATTTATGATTGGATGATGTGAATACTTGTCATTTACTACTCAGTAGTAGGATAAAGCCTCACAACTACTAGCTTAGCAATTCCATGTTTTATTGAGTGTTCTAAGAGATGAGATAGAACACACCTTTTCCTAATTATTTCCTGTGAACAGATACTGGTTTCCAAAACCCCACTAAATCTCATGGTCCCTAGTAAGCAGAACACATCAGTTTACTATGTTAGCAGCCTTGACAGAATTTTCCTTTCCTGTAGGGCTTTTTTTTTTTTTCCCCAGCCTGGCCTACCTTTTGTGCTTTTGGCATATCAGTGTGGCGCTGAGCACGTACAGAGCGTGCAGACTTAGGTGGCTTTATTGGAGCACAATACATCTCCAGCCTCCTCAGGTCACAACTCTGGAAGCAGCATTCATCCACTATTCCCTTGTGGTGTAAGCGTCTACTGCTGGATCCATACCCTGTAGGCTTACCTATTCAAAACACAAATGGAAAGTTTTTACGTTAGAAAGAAAATGCAAAGATCTCAGCAGCAATCATATTAAGTTGCATTATTTTAACTGAATCACCAATGACAGTTGTAGAGACTGCCTGTATGTATCTATTCTAAGACCCTGTTCTCAGATACAGCTTCAAAAGATATTCCTGGAAATGGGCAGCTTTGATCTCTGTCTATGGGTGGTTGCTATTTAAGCATTTGAGGAAAATTATATCTTTTTAGAATAGTATTATTAAAAGATTTTCTTGAACTGCCTTGGCATTGAAAATGGAGAAGGAAGTTGAAATCTGGCATTTAGAAGCCCTGCAAAGGAAATTTGCCCTTTAGCTTTTGGATGAAAACTGGTTGTTATCTGAGGTAGCTGGTGTTTAAAGACCATAGATCATGCCTGTGTCATAGGCAAGTATTTTCTAAGGAAAAAGGCTATGCTGAGCCACCATGTGAAGTCAGAGTGAGTTCCAAAGGGGAAATAAATGATGTATAGCACTGCACAGGCTGTAAGATCTGCAAGCTCAAAAAACTAGTGGGAAGCAGGAAGTTAGTTAGCAAAGTAAATGATGAAATGCAGCAAAAATAGGAAGATGGTTGATGGAACAGATAAAAGAAGATTTTATATTCTATTGCTTTGCACGAGATAGGAAATGGGACTGACATAACATGGTCTTTCCTGTGTTTTGTGCTTGCACTGGGCATCTGTAGAAATTGTTTGGCAAATGCTTTGCATTTTTCACTCAGCTCCAGTAAAGGGTGACATTTTCATTCATAGAACTCTTACACTCTTCTCTTCCCCTCCCCCCCACCCCCTCCAGTTATTTATGATTTCTTTAATAACTATTGATTTTTCTGCTATATTATGCAAAGATTACAGACCCATTATTTCCTCAGCTTGTTTATAGGCAACCCAGTTGTATGTGCTCTTGCCCTGTTATGACTAACTAGAAATGATGGAGCAGTAAATTCACTAAAAAAAAAAAAAAAGTAGTTAGTTACTTTTACTGCGTCTATTTTAAAATTCTGGTAGAATTTGGTTTCAGATAGTAAAATTACGAAAAGATTGAATGTTTTGTTTTGACATTTTCGGCATTAAATGTTTCCATTTAAACTATGATCCACATTGCTTAAGAACCCAAAAATACAGAAAAAAAGAAAATTGCACCTAGAGCCAAAAAACGAAGTAACTCAATTCAGTCAGCTCTACTAATGTTTTTACTTGCCTTTTTTTTTTCCCTTCAGTTTTATCACTGAGACTAAAAATCTGTTATTCACAGTTTGGCAGGAGTTTACATTTTAAGAAATTACTCAAGCTACATGAAAGATAAGGGTATCAAAAAAGGTGAAAATACAGTTTCTTTTTGGAAAATTATTCCATCCAATGCTTATACAGCAAATTCTAGGTTAATATCCGTATACTTATCCTGCAATTTTCAATTTGAAGGCAACACTGCATTTTGCAATTCTCTGTGATTAGAACATATGTCCACTGATGAAGAACCCCTGAGGCCTTAGTACATCCATAAATGAAAAGACCTCTAGTGGTAAAGTACGTCTAACATTTTAGCCAGCAATACAGTCAGCTAAGAACTAACTATCCCTATGAGCTTTGTAAGCCCAGACAACAGGTTTTTAAACGTCTTTTCTTCCAGGGACTATAAATTAAACCAAAAGAAAAACTTGCTTACATAGTATATTGCAATCCACTGAGGGCCTCTATACTGTACATTGCCTGCTAAATTATTTGTTTCGTAAGACTAAACAGAACAGCAAGCCAGGAATAGATTACAGTAATATTTTGATTTGTCTCTGTGTGTGTATGTTGGTTTTTGCGTATCACTGAAGAGTATTATTAAGACACAGAGTTTGGGTTTTTTTCCAGACTATTTTAACTCACTGAGTTATAATATAAAGTACAGGCCTTTCCCTGGAGAGTTTTCTGAAGTTTGTTAATTAGGTTGTCTCAGCCTAGTACCTTTAAAATTTAGCAGTCATAATAAAACGTGGAGTGTCATTACTGTGAGGGATTCCCAGAGCTGTTTCACATTTTGTCTTGCTCCCAATTAAAACATGGAAGGGCAAATTCTGTTCCTGAATATGCAGGTGTAACTCTTCCTAATAGATCCAGCTGAACTGTAGGTACAAACAGTTGATTAGTTAGCTTACCTTTCTTTTCTCAGGCTGCCAATTTTTCATAAGCAAACACACTCTAAAAGCTTCTGTTCAAGAATTTTCCTTTCAATGGTATTTCATAGCAGCTAACGGGCATAGAGGTTTGGTTGATTCCCTGGCTACTGCTAATAGTAAAAATAAGGATGGAGAGTTCATTGTTTAGTTTCATCTGGCTTATAATGACCTTTCTACCTAGAAAGGAAGTTACTTATTAAAAAAATTCTATCAATCCAATAGAAGATTTCAGGATTAATAATCATAGAATCATAGAATCATAGAATTATTTAGGTTGGAAAAGACCATTAATATCGTTGAGTCCAACCATTAACCTAGCACTGCCAAGTCCACCATCAAACCATGTCCCCCATTAAACCATGTCCCTAGGTGCCACATCTGCCTGTCCTTTAAATATCTCCAGGGATGGCAACTCAACCACTTCTCTGGGCACCCTGTTACAATGCTTGACAACCCTTTCGGTGAAGAAATTTTTCCTAATATCCAATCTAAACCTCCTCCTGGTGCAACTTGAGGCCATTTCTTCTTATCCTATCAGTTGTTACTTGGGAGAAGAGACAGTTATAATATTTTGCACTTGTAAGAATCTTACAAATGTTAGCTCCTCATGACATTCATGCTAGATAGATACTATTACCTCCAGGTGACAAAATTTAGAATCAATTAGATGAAATATGTTGGCCAGGAACTTCCATGAGTTAACAACAGAACTTGATAGAACTCTTCCTTCCGTGAGTAGCAAGACTATAAATGTTTTTAACTTGTAAGATTCAGTGGTAAGTCCTTGCTCTTTACTGAAGCCATTTATCTATTCTGTAGAGAACTTATTGGGTATTTTTTCTTAGTGACATGTTTTGGTCAGTTTGATCTTCTAAGAAGGACTAATGACTGAGAGTGACATTTTTTGGCATAGGAAGGGTTTATAAAGGAAATAGTCAAACGAAATTTAAAGTTTAAAAGGTCTTTACGTTTAAGGTTTAAAAGGTTTAAATTTTGTCATTTAATATGGCTAACATTTAGCTTTGTCATAATTAAAGCCAAAGATGAACTGGTTGGTAGAGGTGATGTTTTTGGAAAATTTTGCTGATGATTTGGAAAATATTTCATGTCCTTTAATGATCAATAAGTCTTTCCAGTTTGTCTGTGTTGAGTCTGTACTTCTACAGCATCGCTTGTATTTTGCCATTTTAAGTTTAGTTTAATTGTATAATCTAATGCTCCCTTACCTTAACTGTTTTTTACTCAAGACATAAGAAAAAACAGTGACATGCAACAGATTATATAATGTTCTGCCAGTTTATCAGTATCATTTCTTGAACCAA